TGCAAAATTTTGTGCAGAAAATGAGCGCTTTGGAGCAAAAACGCGATCTCTTGAAAAGTTCATAACTTCGAACCGAAAGCAAGTAGCAACTTCAAATTTTTACAGTCCGGACAAGACAAATGAGTTTATACGCTCCGAAAATTGCATTTAAATCCCCCGCATTTCTGATTTTTTACAAACTTGCAAAATTTTGTGCAGAAAATGAGCGCTTTGGCACAAAAGCGCGTTCTCTTAAAAAGTTCATAACTTCGAACCGAAAGCAAGTAGCAACTTGAAATCTTTACAGTCCGAAGAAGACAATTGAGTCCGCACGTTCTGAAAATTACATTTAAATCCCCCGCATTTCTGATTTTTTACAAACTTGCAAAATTTTGTGCAGAAAATGAGCGCTTTGGCCCAAAAGCGCGTTCTCTTAAAAAGTTCATAACTTCGAACCGAAAGCAAGTAGCAACTTGATTTTTTTACAGTCCGGAGAAGACAATTGAGTCTGCACGTTCTGAAAATTGCATTTAAATCCCCCAAAATTCTGATTTTTTACAAACTTGCAAAATTTTGTGCAGAAAATGAGCGCCTTGGCCCAAAAGCGCGTTCTCTTAAAAAGTTCATAACTTCGAACCGAAAGCAAGTAGCATCTTGATTTTTTTACAGTCCGCAGAAGATAATTGAGTCTGCACGTTCTCAAAATTGCATTTAAATCTCCCACATTTTTTATTTTTTACAAACTTGCAAAATTTTGTGCAGAAAATGAGCGCTTTGGCCCAAAAGCGCGTTCTCTTCAAAAGTTCATAACTTCGAACCGAAAGCAAGTAGCAACTTCAAATTTTTACGGTCCGGAGAAGACAATTGAGTCTGCACGTTCTGAAAATTACATTTAAATGCTCCAAAATTAAGATTTTTTACAAACTTGCAAAATTTTGTGCAGAAAATGAGCGCTTTGGCCCAAAAGCGCGTTCTCTTCAAAAGTTCATAACTTCGAACCGAATGCAAGTAGCAACTTGAAATTTGTACAGCCCGGAGAAGAGAATTGAGGTTGCACGTTCCGAAAATTACATTAAATTCCCCTAAATTCCTGATTTTTTACAAACTTGCAAAATTTTGTGCAGAAAATGAGCGCTTTGGCCCAAAAGCGCGATCTCTTGAAAAGTTCATAACTTTGAACCGAAAGCAAGTAGAAACTTGAAATCTTTACAGTCCGAAGAAGACAATTGAGTCTGCACGTTCTGAAAATTACATTTAAATCCCCCGCATTTCTGATTTTTTTAAACTTGCAAAATTTTGTGCAGAATGAGTCTGCACGTTCTCAAAATTGCATTTAAATCCCCCAACTTTCTGATTTTTACAAACTTGCAAAATTTTGTGCAGAAAATGAGCGACTTCGCCCAAAAGCGCGTTCTCTTGAAAAGTTTATAACTTAATCCCACAAATGTCCCACAACTAATCAATGCTCCAATTTACAGGAAGAATCGGTTCTAACGGACGTGAACGCCACCAGGTCTACCATCCACCTGGTGGAGGAGCTGCAGAGCTTCGAAAGCGAGTACAAGAGCATAGTGAACAAGTTGCCTAGAGACTGTGGTTCAGTGGACGGTCCCAAAGGAATCTACCTGATCTCCCCAGGAGATGGCGAGCCGATTCTGGCACGATGCGACAGCGGCTGGACAACGATCCAGAAACGATACGATGGCAGCATCAACTTCAACCGCAACTGGAACGAGTACAGCAACGGTTTCGGAAGCGCCACGGGCGAACACTGGCTGGGCAACCGCAACTTGCACCATCTGACCAAAGACAATTGCACCCAGCTCAGCATCAACATGAAGGATATCTATGGAAAGTACTGGGAGGCCAGCTACGATCACTTCCACATCGCTGACTACACGCAGGGCTTCAAGCTGACCGTGTCGCATTATCATGGCAATGCCAGCGACGCCATGGACTACCAGAATCGAATGGAGTTTTCCACGGTGGACAACGACCGGGACATTTCCAACACTCATTGCGCCAGCAACTACGAGGGAGGCTGGTGGTTTTCCCATTGTCAGCACGCCAACTTGAACGGGCGCTACAATTTGGGGCTGACTTGGTTTGACGGGACGAGGAATGAGTGGATCGCTGTGGCCCAGAGCGAGATGAGAGTCAAGCGGAGGGACGTGTGCTGAGGAGAGTTGGGCGATTTTGAACGCGTTACCCATTTAGTGCCCCCAAAGAGTCAATATTTTTCTATATACTGCGTACTGATAGAGTATCGTAATCGTTTATTAGTAGGGATCGGCCCATGCCAGTAAAAGCCAAAGATAAGCTAGTTCACACTGTTGTAGATGTAGGTGTATATGCTAGGGAGCGTCTCCATGTACAGACTTATTTATTTATTGTAGGATTTCAGTTATTTGCTTGCCCCGATTGCCATAAGTCTTTGTAAATATATTTGTATGTAGGGAATGAATATTTGTGTTTTTCTGCAAACCCTCGGAGTAAAAAACAGCACAATGGGAATATAAACACGGAGTGGAAAAAGGCTGCATGTTTTGAAAATTTAATTTCAATCCCACAAATTTCTGATTTTTCCTCACTGGTAAATTTTGAGCAGAAAATGAACGATCTCGCTCAAATGCGTGTTTTCTCGAAAAATTTATAACTTCGAAACCAACGCACGTAGCAACTTGAAAATGTTACAGTTCATAAAAGCACTTGCTGAATTTTTCACGCAAATCTTTTTTATTTGTCCGCACTTGATAATTTTTTGTCGCGAGTTCTCGCTCAAATGCGCGTTATCTTGAAAACTTCGAATTTTGCAGGTTTTAATATATATTTATTATAATAAAATCACAGACAAACTCTTAACCTTAACGTGAACCTCTAGCACAATTATTGTTAAATACCTCTTATAAGGCGGACAATGCCAATCACATAAACTGTACATACTCGGCGGATATTTACCGGGATTTTAGGACTAAACACCTAGAAATCTATAAACAATTAATACTATATACATATGGTTCTTCAACCAAGGTATTAACTGAGGTCATTAAGAATCAACATTGGATAATATCCAAATATAGGTATTAATCTAATCAATCAAGGTTAAAGCAAGTTTACACTAATCAACAGAACATCAGCATCAATTAACAGGCAATCAATGTCGCTTCTTAATCCTCTACTTAAGCAGCATTTATCAATTAAACTGTTGCCCACTATGCGTCCTGATTTACTTACTCTTACAATACCCTGTTTCATGGCCTTTAGCAAACTTTATACTATACTTCCACGCTGGATTTCGTGCTGGCCAATGGGGCGTAGTTGCCCCCTGCTGGTTCCTTTCTCTTGAATGTAACATAGGTGTAGACCAAGCTGCCCACCACGCTGATATTCAGCCCAATGAAGTTCAGCCAGGAGAAGACGTAGTCGCCGCCAATCACCATGCCCAGATAGGTGACACAGATGTTCTTCAAGCAGCCAATGATGGTGGTGGTGAGGGCTGAGTTGTGCAACGTGCATAGAATCACACTGTACATCAGGATAAAACCCATCACGCACGATAAAATAAACTGGCTAAGAAACAGCGGGTCATTCCAGGTCGGGTAGTTGTAGGCAGCTTCCAGATCTCCAGTGTAAAAGGCCAGAAACGTTCCGGGAATGATCATGAACAAGGAATTGTAGAACATCAGTCCGTATTTGCCCAGTTCTTTGGAATCCAGCTTCTTCTTCGTGTACACTCCATTGATGGCGGTGAAGAAGTCGTTAAGCAGCACAAAGATGTAGCCTTGCAAGTTGAAGGCCAGATCATTGCTGGCTGCCAGCACAGCGCCTCCAACCATCATGTAGACGCTGAACTGTACACTAAAGATGGGCCGGACCCCCAGAACGTACAGCTCCAGAATCATGGTCATTAGAATGGAGAATCTTCTCAGGGCTGTGAACATTGGCAGGGACAGTTCCTTGGTGCCGCCCAGTCCGAAAATCATGTTCCCGATGTAAATCAAGGGCAGCGGGAAGATCTTGCCACAAGTGCTCAAATCGAAGCTGGGAAAGTTGACTAATCGAAGCTTCTTGGCAACGAAAAGCACCAGAATAGTCGCAGCCATTTGGCCAATTCCCAGTACCTGGAACGATGGGAATCCATAGGTGGTGAGGACAGTCTTGTTCACCACCGTGATCATAAAGGACGCAACAGCATAGAAGAGCGCCGATAGAATCTTCTTGAGGAACACTTTAGGGTCAGCAACTTCTTCCTGGGTGGCAGTCATGGCGAGTTTGGATATATCACAGCAGAAACACCGAAATATCACTGGGAATGCTTACGCTCATTCTAGCGGCTGCAGGCAAAACCGACACGTAGATAATGAGCTTAAGCGATTAATAATGTTAGGGATTAGTTAAACAATTGCAGTTCCTCGGTTTGTTTAGGTTAAGACAATATGTCAAGTCGTTAGAGGACTTGTTTCAAGCCGAGACATCTAGGTGGACCGTTGGTAACTTTTCCCGAACGGGGCTTAACAAAAAAATCTACTTAATTACTAGCCTGAGCAGAAGCCAGTGACGCTGTGAATTATGCATTTAATCACGCTCAGAGGCTTTGATGAGCCCCACCAACCTTAACCTATAAATTGTAAACAGTTAAAAACTCACGTCGATGTCCATGTTGAAAAGAAACCCACTGGCCATCCAGTTGACCGGCGATGTCCTTCAGGCTATCCACGCACTGGCTTCGTCTGTAAACATTTAATTGGGTCAGTTTTTCTGGATAACTTTGCCAAAAGACGCTAACAAGACAGGAAAGACGCCATTATGGCGAATGTCAGTTTTGAAAAGCAGGTT